CTGAAGCCTCAGCCGCGTCAGTCGCGTCGACTCAATCTGCCTCTGCTGCATCGGTTGCTTCGGATGCCTCGGTTGCTTCGATATCCGCCACGGTTGCTCCTCCACCCCCTCCACCTGTACCAGTGTTCCTGGATTTCAATGCGTCCCTGCCCCTCATCAGCTCTGCGTCTTCTGCCGTGTCTGGATTTGTTGCCAACGCTGCGAGCCCCATCGTGGCGGTTGGAGATCAGGTCACGTTCAACCTGACTGCAAGTGTGCCGAGCGGGTCGATTGGCAGTTTCAAGCTGGCCATCGCTGCTGGAATGCCTTCTTCAGTGAGCGCACCGGGCGTGTTTGCCATCTTTTCGGCCAAGGTTGTGGCGATCGGAAGTGCGATTTCCGTGTCAACGCTGGCGGTTGGAGCCGACGGTGTCATGCAAGATACCGACGGCAACACGTTCAACGATACTGCCGTGTTTGACTTTGGCGCGCTGAGCACCTTGGCATTCCAGCCATTGGAGGATCGCGAGATTATTGTGCAAGTGCAGGCCAGCGTTCCATCTGCGGCTACCGTTGGCAATGTTGCGGGTAGCACGATCGAGTCGCAGGCCACAGCGTTCTTTGGCCCGGACAGTTCGTCGCTGGTCAGCATCAACTCGACCCTGCTTAGTCATACCGTGGCGGAGCCGAACTTGCAAGTGACGTCGATCATTAGCCCCGAGGTGGCGTATCCAGGCGATGACCTTACCTTCACGGCGCTTGTCGCGCACACGGCAATGTCCAGCACGACCGCCTTTGCGCTTGAACTGCTCGACCTTGTGCCGGTTGGCGGCAATCTGACGCTCTACCCGGACTCGATCGTGGTGACGACTTCTGCGTCAGTGCCAGTCCCTGCCACAGTTTCGCTGTCTGCTGACAACTCGACGTTCTCAGTCATGTTGTCCGAGTTGCCCCTGTACGAGGCTGCCGGTTTGTCGACCAAGTCCACGTTCAACGTGACGTTTGTTGCCAAGCTTGTGCTGCCAGACGCTACGATCAACTGGGTGCCTGCCGTCAACTATAGCAGCTCGCCTCTGGACTTTAGTTCGCCGTCGATCTTTGCCGGCCGCAACTACACTGCTTGGGATGTCGCGTCGGCATCGGACAACACGCCAAAGCTGATTGGATTCAACGCCTCGTTGCCCCTCATCAGCTCTGCGTCTCCTGCCGTGTCTGGATTTGTTGCCAACGCTGCGAGCCCCATCGTGGCGGTTGGAGATCAGGTCACGTTCAACCTGACTGCAAGTGTGCCGAGCGGGTCGATTGGCAGTTTCAAGCTGGCCATCGCTGCTGGAATGCCTTCTTCAGTGAGCGCACCGGGCGTGTTTGCCATCTTTTCGGCCAAGGTTGTGGCGATCGGAAGTGCGATTTCCGTGTCAACGCTGGCGGTTGGAGCCGACGGTGTCATGCAAGATACCGACGGCAACACGTTCAACGATACTGCCGTGTTTGACTTTGGCGCGCTGAGCACCTTGGCATTCCAGCCATTGGAGGATCGCGAGATTATTGTGCAAGTGCAGGCCAGCGTTCCATCTGCGGCTACCGTTGGCAATGTTGCGGGTAGCACGATCGAGTCGCAGGCCACAGCGTTCTTTGGCCCGGACAGTTCGTCGCTGGTCAGCATCAACTCGACCCTGCTTAGTCATACCGTGGCGGAGCCGAACTTGCAAGTGACGTCGATCATTAGCCCCGAGGTGGCGTATCCAGGCGATGACCTTACCTTCACGGCGCTTGTCGCGCACACGGCAATGTCCAGCACGACCGCCTTTGCGCTTGAACTGCTCGACCTTGTGCCGGTTGGCGGCAATCTGACGCTCTACCCGGACTCGATCGTGGTGACGACTTCTGCGTCAGTGCCAGTCCCTGCCACAGTTTCGCTGTCTGCTGACAACTCGACGTTCTCAGTCATGTTGTCCGAGTTGCCCCTGTACGAGGCTGCCGGTTTGTCGACCAAGTCCACGTTCAACGTGACGTTTGTTGCCAAGCTTGTGCTGCCAGACGCTACGATCAACTGGGTGCCTGCCGTCAACTATAGCAGCTCGCCTCTGGACTTTAGTTCGCCGTCGATCTTTGCCGGCCGCAACTACACTGCTTGGGATGTCGCGTCGGTTGATGCCGCAGCGCCACCCTCTTCAATCGCCTCCACCCAACTTTCTTCTGCCGCATCGGTTGCTTCTGCTGCTTCTGCCGCGTCCACGAAAGTTGCATCGACTGCTTCGGTTGCTTCTGCTGCTTCAGTCGCGTCAACCATTTCAGGTACGGTTGCTTCAGCTGCTTCAGTCGCGTCAACCATCTCTGCTTCAGTTGCTTCCGCTGCTTCTGCCGCGTCCACGAAAGCTGCGTCAACTGCTTCGGTTGCTTCAGCTGCTTCATCCGCGTCAACCATTTCAGCTTCGGTTGCTTCAGCTGCTTCAGTCGCGTCAACCATCTCTGCTTCAGTTGCTTCCGCTGCTTCTGCCGCGTCCACTAAAGTTGCATCGACTGCTTCGGTTGCTTCTGCTGCTTCTGCCGCGTCCACGAAAGCTGCGTCAACTGCTTCGGTTGCTTCAGCTGCTTCAGCCGCGTCAACCATCTCTGCTTCAGTTGCTTCCGCTGCTTCTGCCGCGTCCACGAAAGCTGCGTCGACTGCTTCGGTTGCTTCCGCTGCCTCAGCCGCATCAACCATTTCTGCATCGGTCGCTTCTGCTGCATCCGTCGCGTCGAAGCAAGCTGCTTCTGCTGCTTCGACTATCGCAGCTTCCGCTGCATCAACCATCTCGGCATCAGTCGCGTCGGCTGCTTCCAAACAAGCTGCTTCGGCCGCTTCGACTGTCGCAGCATCAGTCGCGTCGGCCTCATCAGCCGCGTCGAAGCATGCATCTTTGTCTGCCTCGGCTGCTTCGGTTGCCTCGACCATCTCAACATCTATCGCGTCCACGCGAGCTGCTTCGGCCTCCTCCACGCCTGTTGCGTCGGCCACCAGTGTTCCAGGCCGATCTGCGACCTTGATTTCTGCCATCCCCAACGTGGTCCCCTCTTCCATTGACGGACATGTCCTGCTTCCCGTCTCTTTCACCTACACTGGCTCCAATCTCCTCGCTGACGGATGCTGCACCATTCTGGTGACTTATGCCAACCGTGGTTTCCCCGACATGCCGGCCTGGACTTCTGGTAGCATTGATGCAACCAACAACGAATTCGAGATTCACAATCTTATTGTCACCCCCGACGGATCTGGCACCAGTGGTACCGTGACTGCTACTCTGTCTATGACCGTTGACGAGAAGGCCAACAATTTCACGTATGTGGTGTCACTCGCCAGCTCGACCGGCGCAACCTTGCTCGTGTCTTCGGCTATCTTCTACGCTGACGTCCCCGCGTATACGCTGCTGCAGCCCGCCGAATTCAACATTCTGACCATGACCAAAGCCAACGGCGTACAAATTTTCGACGCTCAAGGTTTCCGCGAATTGCGTCGCCGCGCCCTCGCTGCGACTGTGCTCACCACCTTGAACTACATGTCTCAAGTCCTGTCTGCCAACGGCGACGTTGTCATTGGTACTACTACCACCTACGACTCGCGAACGGCCTTTGACCACCGCTTTGGCGGCGTCTTTGTCACTTTGACTGGCGCCAGCATCTGCAGCCAGAGCGAGCTTGATGCCGTGGTTGCTCTTCTCGACGCTCACTTGAACGCGTTTGCCCCGTACCCTGTCAAGTTGTACGTCATTTCGGACTTCTTTGGAAGCACATTCACCGCTGGCTCGCAAACCCTGCTGGTTGTTGCCCGTGATGTCAACGGTGCTACCGCCAACGACTTCCTGCTCAGCGCTGACGTCGCCACCTACCTGAACAACGCCCTGACCGGCTCGACTGCTTCCGACCTTCTGACCCATGGCATCTCCGCTCTGACTGCCACCTCCGCCCAAGGCCGTGGTTTGATCCTCACGAACGAGGGCTTCTTCTTGGCTGGCAACGGCGCCACTTTGACCGCTGTTCGCTCGGCCGGCCCCAAGCTCAACGATGCCACTATTGATTCGTCCAGCTGCAACATTGTTTGGCAAGCCAGCGTTTCGGGTAGCAACACTGACAACATTAACGGAGTCGCGACCACCTTCCGTCAAACCTGCACCAACCGTCAGCTGATCTACCGATCACTGTCAAGCGCATTTATGCTCGTCACCAGCCCGGGCCTCCTTGATACCCGCACCCTTGCCTTCAGTCTGGTTGGCCCCGTCGTGCTTGCTGACAGCGAGTACCACATCGGCTCTGGTTTTGCCGAGAACGTCGATATGGATGAAACCTGGTCTGCCGAGCGTTGCGCCGAGTACCAGCCCTGGGCTACCATTGGTCTTCAGTCCGTGCGTGCTTGTTCAGAAGCTGCCGTCTCGCCCACCTACCGCAAGCTCGTTTTCGATCTTGCTGGCGAGTTTGCCCTCAAGGAGCTCTACGTCACCCTGCCCCACTACCCGCTCCCGTATCCCGTGGCCGAGTCGCTTGCTACTCAGCCCCGTCACAGTGATGCCAGCTCGTCGCTCAAGTCCCGTCTTGAGCTGTGGGTTGCCTCCGCCTCTGGTGCTTGGGTCGATGTCACTGACTCTATCAGCGACGACTTTGCCGCTGCTTGCACTGGCCTGGGTAAGCGTGACCGACCATGCAAGATCACCTTTGAGGTGCTCAGCTATCTGCGCGACTCCCAACTTGGCAACGCTGGCATTCGCTACGTTTCCCTTGTCTTTGACGGCATTGAGGATTCCACTCGTCGTCTCCCCGCTGCTCTTCGCGTTTTTGAAATCACCGAAGTTGTTGCCCTCGGCACCTGCCTCTGCAACGGCCACTCGGCATCCTGCGACATTGCTGATGGCCGCTGCGATGCTTGCGAACACATGACCAGCGGTCACTATTGCGGCGTCTGCAGCAACACTGCCTTCACCAACAAGCGCAACTCTCCCGACTTTGCCGTCAACTCGTGCTCTTACGACTCTGCCGCCATGATCGATGGCGTTTTTGCTTGCGACGGTCCCCCGCTTGCCGAGATTGACCCTTCCGAAATCGAGTCGCTTTTCTACGATCATGGCACTTTTTCGGGCTTGATTGTCCCTGGCGTGCCCGTTCGCGACCTTTCGCGGGCGGTCTTCCAAAAGTTCTTTGCAAACGGTGGCCCGTGCGACCCTTGCACCTGCTTTGGACACTCTAACGCTGAGGTGACGAACAATTTCGCAATCCGTGTCTGCGACGCCGATTCTGGTGTGTGCGATTGCGCGGCCAGCCACAATGTGCACGGTGACCACTGCGAGACCTGTGACGCTACTTACTGCCGTGACATTCCTGCCTGCTCCCCCGCTGCGTACGCTTACGAGCAGTGCCACATCGCTGGCTGCTTTGCTCGCTGCGATTGCAATGGCCACTCCACTTTGCCCCAAGTTGGCGGCTTTGACCAATGCGAAGGCGATGGCTGCGGTTGCTCGTGCAACGCTGCTGATGGTGTGACTGGCGCTCACTGCGAGAGCTGTCTTCCCAACTACTTTTCGAGCACTGGTAACGGTGTCGATGGCGAGACATGCGAGCCCTGCTTCTGCAACGGCCACAAGGGCTCCCCCGACACTTGCGACGTTACCGGCGGCAACTGCGACCAGGTTGGCGACCCCTGCCAAGACAACACCACTGGCCACAACTGCGAGCTCTGCCTCGAAGGTTTCTTCCGCCCCTTCCGTCCTGATGGCACCATCGATCTGTCTGATGGTTGCATCGCATGCGACTGCAACGGTCACGGCGTTGGTCCCGGTCTTTGCAACCCTGATGGCGGTGTCTGCTCGTGCAATCCCTCCTCCAACTCTGAAGGTGACCAGTGTCAGTCTTGCATTGTTGGTTTCTGGAGTGCCACTGGTACCGCTGAAGACGGCGTGAGCTGCACGGCCTGCCAGTGCAACACCCACAAGGACTATGTTGACAACGAGTGTAACGCGCTTGGCGGCGACTGCATGACTGATTTCGACGGCAACCCGCAACCTTGCGCTGACCAAACCAACGGCACTCACTGCGAGCACTGCAACCCCACATTCTACCGCCCGTGCTTGACCCCGATTGTCAGTGGCGTCTGCGGCGGTGTTGACCTGACCTACGGTTGCCAAGCTTGCAACTGCAACCACCATGCTGCTATCGTCGTTGGTGGTGGTGAGACTTGCAACGAAGTTGGTGGCATTTGCGACTGCGCGCCGTCTTCCCACACCACCGGCAACCGTTGCGAGCGCTGCGAGGAAAACTACCAAAATCCCTTCGGCACTGGTGTCTACGGCTCTTGCTTCCCTTGTAATTGCTGGACTCACTCTGAAACTTGCAGTGCCATCGGTACTTGCACCAACTGCCGCGACAACACCACCGGTGTCAGCTGCGGCGACTGCTTCACCAACTACAAGCGCAACACCATCTACCCCGATTACGACACTCCCGAGGGCAACAAGCGCAACCGCGAGCAAGGCTGCCAGGCTTGCAACTGCCACGGCCATGCTTATCCCAGCAGCACCACCACCGGCTTTGGCATCTGCAACCCCAACACTGGTCTTTGCCGCAGCTGCGGCAACCACACTCTCAACGGTCCTCTTGGTGAGTGCGACACCTGCGTTCCCGGTTACTTCCGTCAGCTGACGAGCGCCGGCTTTGCTGCTGCCGATGATGTCTGCGGCGCTTGCAACTTTGTCAATGGAAAGTGCTCTGAGGACACCCTTGAAGACATTTGCCGCCCCTGCTCTGAGCAGTGCTTTGGCTCCAACACCATGTGCGGTGCGAACACTGGTGTTTGCTCCCAATGTGGCCTTTCGAACGCTGAGAGCCACCGTTGCGCGTCCTGCCAGAATGGCTTCTTTGGCAACCCCTCCGAAGGCATTCCCTGCACCCCTTGCAAGTGCTACCATTCCGCGCCTAGCAAGTTTGACCTGCTGACCGAAACCGAGATTGGCACCTTCCAGCAATGTCTCTTTGACAACAGCATTGGCGGCGTCAGTGGCGGCGCCCAGTCCTGCATTCTCGACCACAGTGTCAACGCGATCGACGCTGCTGCTGATCCCCAGAGCGCCATTCTGTGCAGCTGCCCCCGTTCCATTCCCGGCGGCTTCTTCAACATTATTTCGTCGGGCGTCGTGTACGAGGGCCGCACTTGCGACTCGTGCAACCAGGATGCCTACTTTGGCCAGCCCACGCAATGCCTCACCCCTGGTGCTGGCGGCAGCGGTCTTGGCGACTGCTTGTCCTTCGACACTTGCAACGAGTGTATTTGCAACGGCAACATTGACGAATCGAGCATGATGGACAACTGCGACTACTCTGCGGGCAACCCCAGCAACCTGATCTGCAAGGCCTGCCTCGGTCATTCGACCGGTCCCAACTGCGAGGTCTGCGAGGTTGGCTACTATGGCGACCCGACTCGTCTTGACACTCCCGGCACCATCGGCACTGGTTTTATTCTCGACGGCTCTGGCGAGTCGCTCAAGTGCTTCCAGTGCGACTGCAATGGCCACTCGATTGCCCGTGTCGTCCCTGGCACGGAGGGTGACGTCCACAACGATACCTGCACCACGGTTGCCCCTGGCTTTGTTGGCAATTACACTTGCGACTGCGACTCTGCCAACGGCTACACTGGCCCGACCTGCCGCGAATGTCTGCTTGGCTACGAGCAAATCGCCCTCGGCGGCAACCTCTTCCGCTGCGATCCTTGCGACAACTGCACCCGCGACGCCGCTGACATCATCTACGGTCTTATCGACGAGTACGCGGCTCTGGACACTTTCGAGTCCGAGATTGCCGCCTCGGTTGCTGCCGTCGCTGTTGCCATCAACGACCTGAAGGCCATCCTCGGCATTGCCCGTCGCGACGCGTCCGCTGCCAACATTGTCGCTGCTCTTCCTCTTGTTGGCTCTACTGCCGACTGTCTGACTTCCCAGCGTGAGCAGCTCTCTGCCCTTCTCGCCAACTTTGAAGCGTCTGCTGACAACAAGATGGTCCGTGTTCGCATCCAATCGTTGCTCAAGCGCGTCGAAGACTCCAAGCTTGCCTCGTTCACCTCCCAGTCCGAGTCCTTCCAGCGCCTTGCCGCTGCTGCCGACCTGCTCTCGACTCTGATTGCCAAGCTTCCTCAGCAACGCGAGCGCCTTGCCTCGCTCGAGTCTGCTCTTGCACAGGCTGAGGCCGCCTTCCTTCACGAGCAGGACTGGATTGACACCAATCTCGACGTCATTTCGGCTGGCCTCGCCACCGCCGATCGCATGACGCAGAGTGCTGCTGGCCTCCGTGCCGCGGCTGCTGCTGCTTTCGACCGTTCCGTCGCTCCTCTTGCGCTTGTCTTGAGCCAGGCTGAGGCTGTTCTTCGTGACGACACTGCTGACGCGCTCCAGTCGGTGCTTGCTCAAGCTCTTGCTGACATCCAAGGCCGCCTGACTCGTCTCGAGTCTGTCATGTCGAACGTCCGCACCCGCACTGCCACTGCGAACGCCGCCTCGACCACCGAGCGTCTTGCCCAGCACCAGTCGACCATCTCTGCTCTCGGTGCCCGCCTTGCTTTGATTGAAGGCCAGGTTGGTCTTGATGGTGCCATCGAGCAGGCTCACGCTTCGCTCCTTCTCGTTCTCCAGGCTGCTGATATTGGCACTGGCGAGTTTGTCACCATGGTTGACGCCACCGAGACTGAGCTTCGCAACAAGCTGGCAGCTCTTGACCCTACTCAGGCACCTCACGTGAGCGAGCTTATTGCCGAGCTGGAGAGCAGCATTGCTGCCCATCGCGATGCCGTCGCCGAGTCGTCCAAGCGCATCCTCACCCAAGTCTCTGCTGAGGCCAGCATTGCTGCCACCGCTGCCTCGGAATCTCTGATCTCGAGCGGCGCCAACGAGGTTGCCCGTGTTGTTGCCGTCCAGACCTTCCTCTCAAAGATTAACACCATCTCCAACGGTGCTGTCGCTCAGTTCACTGAGGCCTTTGCTGGTGAGCGCGTCCTTGCTATCATGCGCGAGCTTGTTTCCAGCCGCCGCCGTCGCACTGTTGAGCTGCTGACTCCTCTTGAGCGCGAGACCTTCGCCGCTTTCGGTGAAGCCTGGTCTGCCGCCAAGTACGAGACAATGCAGTCGTGCGCCTCGGTCCTCGATCAGTACACTGAACGCCTGCAGGCCTCGATTGCTGCCTTCACCAAGTCGCTCACTCGTGTTCAGCTGAACACTACTCAGGTGGCTCTAGACATGACTGAGCGCGATTCGATGAAGAACTGGCTGTCTGGCGTTGCCCAGGAGCTCAAGATGGCGCGCACCGACTCTCTCGCTGCCCTCGATCGTAAGATCTCTGCCCGTGCTGGCCAGCTTGCCGCGTCGCTTGACGAGGTTGTTCTCGAGTTGAGCGTCTCGGTCGGCTCTGTTCGCAACCTTGCTGTTGCCGAGCTCATGCAAGCCTCCTCCAAGGTCGCTGATCTTCCTGCCATCGTTGCTGCCACTGTCGCCGACCTCACCCAGCAGCTTGCCAACCTTGTTGGTGAGATTGACCTCTCGGCCTCCCAGATTCAGCAAAACGAGCAGCAAGAGCTCGAGCGCTTTGTCGGCCGATTTGGCTCGGATATGGCCATCATCCGTACCAAGATTTCTGCCATCAACGAGCTTGTCAACAGTCTTGAGGACGCGCTCAACGAGCAAGCAGATGCACTTGACGTCTCTGCCACCTCGGCTCGCGCCACTCTTCGCGAGACTGCCGCTCTCCAGGTCAACCTTCAGGCCTTTTTGACCATCCCTGCCTCCGCCGAGCTTGTCAAGGAAGCTCCGGCTTCGCCGTCCGCAACTCTGGTTGATCAGTTGCGCAACACTGCTCTTCCTCAATGCCAGCTCTAAGTGGCAATCACCAGCCTTGTCGACAGCTCCTTGTCGCAAAGGCTGACTTTGTGTGTTCGTGTTTACGTTCTTTTTTGTGTGTTTTGTTTCATTTGACTGTTTTGCGCAGTTGTGATCTGATAATGTTGCATGTTGCATGTTTGCTGTTTGTTTCCGATGGATTCGTCCACACGTCGTCGTGTTTGTTGCGCTCATCTTTCTTTACCACGTCTACTTGACGTGTGATACTCGTTGTTGTTTCTTTCTTGTGTTTGCTTGTTTTTCATGGCTTGCTGCATGAAAATTTTGTGTTTGGATTTTTGTTTGTTTGTTTGTCATTATTTTTGTTTGCTTGGTTGTCATAATGACATTACAACTCTTTGTCGTGAAAATTTGAATCTTCCCAGTGGAAGCTCGCCTGCAACGCTCGATCGACCTCAGGCAGCATTTCATGCAACGCATGGTCTTGCGCTGCAGACAGGCGACTGGCCCTGGCAGAACAGCAAGGGCACTGACAATCTTTGCCGCCGACATGGACGGTGCGGGTAGAAAACAAGGGATCGATCAGCAAGCCATCGTCAATCTCGGTGTCAGCACTGGCACCAATGTGGTAGTGACCGTGAAATCATATCTATATGCGGAAATGACAGTGCAGCAACGTGAATCGGGAAAGAGCGAGGCGAGGAGGGCGAAAGACAAGATGCAGTCTTGGTCGCCGCGCTGCTTATACAAGCAAGCCAAGGGTCGCCCGAATCAAATACCAAACAATGTTGAATATAGTTTGCTACTGTCTGCATTCAAGATGGATCGACTTTCCGGGCACATGGCGCGCATAGACGAAGGCGAAGTTTGAGCACGGAAGTGTTAATTTTTGCCATGCTGGTTGGCTTTTTCAATCACCGCTGCACTTCTAAATTATTTGTGTGAATGATTTATGCACTTGGTGAGCAGGAAAACGGGATTCACAGTGAAAAAAGAAACCGTTTTACCGGTCTACCCCGTTGCGTCGAGCTCGATAAAAACGCGTCCCTGGGCTCTGTGCCTTTGACAGTGTATTGTCCTGCGTGTGTACATTCGAACACTGCAACGAGCGTTCGTGTAGCTCCATCCAGAGAGCAGATCCAGGCGAAAGCAGTTTAGAGTGTCTGGTGCAGGCGTGTTTTCCGTCGGCTGTGTGATTTTTTTGATTTTTTTTCGATTTTATTTTCATTTTTTTCGATTTTTGCCAATTTTTCTTTTTCATTTTTTGTGGCAGTCGTCCTGTTTGGGATTTTTTTCATTTTTTTATTTTATTTTTGATTTATTTTATTTTATTTTTGATTTATTTTATTTTATTTTTGATTTATTTTATTTTATTTTTGATTTATTTTATTTTATTTTTGATTTTTTTCAGTTCTTTTTTATTTTTTTATTTTTATTTTTATTTTTCAATGTGTTTCATTGTATTCCTACCAATCATCAACGATGCCACCGGATGAGTATAAACCGATGGTCGGCGTGTCCGAAGCCTTGTGGCACAACAACAGGCTTTACCCAGCCGCTGCCAGCAATACAATCAGTTTCAACAAACCGGGCCAAGGGACCCGCGTCGGGTTGAGTTCGGCGATACACTGGGTTGTTCCGCCAATGCGATGCTTCCTCGAGAACGAACCAATCCTGCACTTCCGCCAGACATTGCGTGGTTTCCTGGTCGATCAACGTGCGTGTGTAAAACGCACGAACTCGAAAATAGTGTTCCCTGTCACATGTGAGAACGGTGTTGGTCCCAGCAATTGCCAACGTGCACCAACGGGAGCCTGCGTACGAAACCATCATCTTCATGTGCCTGGCAGCCACCACACCATAACCGAACTGCTGCACGAGATATCTCTCGATGTATTCGTTGACCAAATGACGTCTGCGCTTTGTGTTCGCAAATTTGTACACCATGCCGCAGCCAGCGGTGCTGCTGCGCTGCGAGGGGGAGTCGTTGATCACCTTGTTCACGAATCGCGTTAGAATGTCGTTTTGTGTGCCGGGAGGAATCTGCCGGCAGAGCTCGTTGACTTTCCTCTCAAACACCATGGTCGAGACGTGCGCAGGAGGACCGTGTTGCCGACAAGCCCATGCAATGTGAGTCAAATGATGCGTGGTGATTGGCATTCCGCAAGGACCATTGGCCGCCGTGGCGCTTTCAATGTAGCGTTGTATGACCAGCTCGATCGTTGGGATTCTGCTGATGTCGATGGCCTTTGTCACGCAGATGAACACGATGTCGGCCATATCAAGCCACATCAGATGATACCCAGGCAAGCCGGCGATGTCTGCAAAGATCCATCTTGCGCAGACCAGCACGAAATTCAGAATCTCCTCGCCCGTGTACAAACCGTGCTGTGTCGACACTTTGCGAGGGACTCGCATGGCAAAGGATGGCCAGGTTGTCTCTTTCAATGAAGAATCCAGTTTTGCCAGTTTTTTCTGTTTGGCCCGTGGGTCGGTGAGGATCTTGTTAATTGTGTTGCTCAGAAGTCGCTTGCAGCTGCCAAGCAGAACACTGTGCAGCGTATCCAACGAGCACATACTCCGCTCAACGTGTCCGTTGGCTGGAAAGTTGGTCAATCCCCGCAAACAAGACGCGCCACCGCCTGGCTTGCGCTGGGAATGGTCAATGTAATCGTAGTTGGCGTATTGCGTGGCAGTCAAATTGCCCCAGTTGCGATGATGGCCGCACTCGCAAGGGCCGGCTTTTCTCGGACAGTAGTTGCATCCTAGCTGGGCCGAGTGGCCCATGATGTGCAGCACCTTGGCACGAGCGGGAGAATCCATTGACAGGAGTTGGATTTGAGCTTTGACACGTACGGCGGTCTCAGTGAATGCATTTCGCAAGTCAACCCCGCGCGACGACAGCTCGTTGACTTCCTTGATCAGGGGCGCCATCAGCTGGTCTAGGTTAGCTAGCTCAGGGCCCTACGTCGGCAAGGTCGGTGACAACGAGTCAGTTTGACAGCGTCTCAGTCGCATCAATAAAAATTAATGGCAAAAAGTCTACCTACATCAATGAGCGACGACACGCAGACACAGTGCGCTTGGCTGGCCAGCGTCGTATTTAAATTGAGCACACGCACACACACAGTGTGCATCTGGACGCTCGATGAGTTGAATGCTTGAAATCTACCAAACCAACCATTGGAAGTGAGACCATCGTCTCCCTCCCACATCTGTCTCGAGCAAATGCTGACAACCAACTGACCCGTCGTAGAACAAGCAAAGTGACAGATTCCATGGGGATTCATGGAGGAAGTCGAGCCGCGATGACTTCTGGAAATGCTCGCCTTGGAGGGGATGAGTCTTTTGAGGCAATCCTGCAGATTCCTGAAACACGGCGGGCCACTCCCTGAACAGACGGTCGACATGTGTTGCATCGTTCAGATCACCATATCGATCGATCAAGCCTTTGACCAATTCAGGGTCCTCAAACAACTTGGTCAGCTGCGGCTTTAGCGGAAAATACACAAAAATACGTGCCGAAACAAGCGTTGTGCAGCGAGGATTACTATCACACTCCAGCTTGTCTTGCTGACGAGTTGATGGCGCCTCGTCGAGGATCCAAACGCTGGCTCGGCAGGTAGGTCACGTTCCCACACGGACAGAGCTTGCACATTGACAGAGCTTGCTGAACCGTAGGATGGCATCGACAGCCAGTATGATACCACACGGCAGTAGCATAATCGGCATACTTGCGTTGGAGGCTGGCAATACGCTCACATGCATTTAGCTCGGGCTCGGGTGTTGTCCGCTGTCCAACCATGGAATCGCGCACGAGGGCCTGCTGAAAGTAGTACGGAGTCGCAGGTATCGCTGCCAGAGACGAACAAGATGCGGTTAGTGAATGGGACGCGTGACATCGATAGCAAGGGCAGCTGCGTTGTTCGTTTCGTACCCGTGGCGCGAAAATGGTCGTCAAACAGCTCGTTTAGTTTCTGCTCCTGCTCGTCATTCAACCCGTGCGCTCGCATTCCAGTGACCACGGTCTTTCTGAGATCATTGTTGTATCGTTGGAGGAAATTGTCCAACCCTGCGAGGGTCTGGCTAAACATCCGGAGTGTTGACTTACTCCGAAGGCAATGTAGGCGTTCCATCAGCTCGCCCATATACTCATCGGCCTCCGTGTTGGGCGCCGCGGAGTCGGTGTCTTTCTCCGCTTGATCCTGAGCCATGGCAAACGCATAAGCTCGAAGCTCGTCGACAACGTCGATCGCGAGCTGCTCGTTGATCAAATCCTCGCTCTCGGCCTCGCTCTCGTCGTCGTCGTCGTCGTCGTCGTCGTCGTCGTCGTCAGAGTCACTCTCGTCCAAATCGTTCAAGTCCAGCCACCGGTCTGAAACGAATGCATCAGGGTGCTGCATGTCGTTGGTATCCATGTTGCTGAAACCCATGTCGTCGTAATACATGTCGCTGTCATCAACGTCTGCACTAGCACTGTCAAACTGCAGTGAGAGGCACAGTCTAGCCAGCTGGCAATGCTTCGCGTCGTACCTCTGGTTGTCTTGTGTATCAGCATGTTCTTGCATGGCTGCTTCTCTTCTCGGAGCCGTCTGTGTCATTGGGACAGAGGATGGGGTATTCGACGCACGCCACGAAGCGTCCAGCCAGGCGTCGAGCCAGGCGCCTTCCACACCATCGGCCCGTAGCTGATTGTAGACTTGAGCCAGGCACGCAACTCCGAAAAAATTTAAGTGTCGCAACTCGGTTTTTCTTGTGGTGGGCTCCGAAATTTGCCCTTTAATGTGCTTCACAGTGCACTTGATACAAGTGCAGACGTACTTCTCCCTTGGGAGCAACTGATCACGGACATGTCTGGCGCAGACAGCCTGTGTATGCCACACAAGCGGAGATCGTGGATCTTTGTCGAATATCGCTGTGCAAGGCCCGCAGCCGCAACGGAAAAGGACGTGAAACAGATTATTGTTCATTGTGGACTGCGTATCCTTCAATAATTGGACGTGTTTCCTGCATCCATTTCTTCCAATCGGCATGGAGCAGTCAGCCTCAAATCTACCCCGTAATGATTCAAATATAATTCATGACCATATAGTCAAAAATCGGTCTCGGTGGTAAGCTCTAGCATCGCAAATACGTGTGCAGAATTCTGCGTGCGACAATCGAGGTCGATGCCAGCTGACAACCTCGTTTTCCGGTACACTCCTGGGACGGAGTGATTGGCAGTGATATGTTCTTTGCGTTTGTGCTATGGTTGCGGTCAAAATAGTGGAGACTGGTTTAGCGCATCATCAGCAAGTGCGCTGTGAACGTAGCAGTTTCAGTCGGATTCATTCAAAGTATCGCCCATGAACATGTTCTCATCATTATCGAGAACTACAACTGTCCAACACAAGCATGCATACTTGTTACA